CTTAACTTGTGATTAAACTGTGTTATCATAAGATTTAACCTCTGATTAAATTGAGTTATCCTACGTTTTACCTGTAATTAAAAAAGCCTGTGATTAAATTGCGTTATCTTGCACATGTTACTTGTGATTAAAACATGTCATTATGCTTTTGTTAGAAGGCTTTAAGGAGATATTTTGCTGTTAAATAAGTGAGATCGGAAAGTCCAGCTGTGCTAATTATGTCACAGAAAAAGGGGGTATAAAATGGCCGAGGCGCGCTGAGGAAAGTACATGATTAATGTAAACACTCGTGCGTTTTTAGTTTTTGCATTAACACAAACATTGCAAAATATCCCAAATGACCACAATCATATTTGTAAATGTTTATGTAAACAGAAACGCCCCTATGAATTGAAGTACGATATTAGTGTGGAGAATTATAGATTAATAACCTAAATTAGTCCTATCCTACCCATGTTATACCCCCTCTTATCTGATCTCAATATGGCGGCGGGGACTTTCCGATATGGTTTATTGTAGCAGCAATTTAATTTTGTTTGGTGGCAATTAAAATTTCATTTTTCAATTCAAACTGATTAAATTGAGGCAGCAATTTAATTTGTGTGAGAAATGTTAAAAGACACAACTGAACTATCTTGCAATTTTTAATGATTTTTCTCGTTAGGTTTAATGCAGGAAATCATCACAAAAATAGGCAAAATAGTTATTACATTAATTTAATTACCATGTTTTAATTAGTATAAAATAAAATAAAATAATATTATCATAATAACAAATTAACAATTTACGTTTTATGTGCTTATGCGCTATTCCATTTTTTATGTGCCCACATTTCTCTCTCGTTTAATTTCGGTTAACTTCGGATATCTCCGACGGCAACCATCAGACTAATCGATCATGTATGCTTGTTACTTAGTATCATGTTTACTTATGTATTCTATCATTGAGTAAGCACTTGCACCGAGTAATACTGATCGAGTGCCTGGTTAGAATGCTAGTGTACGCAGCGATAGCAGCAGGTAAGTGCCGATGGTAAGTCTAAGCAAGCCAGTCTCGTCCGAGAAAGAGCAAGAAGGAAAGATGCTCACGTCCATTTCGGGATGGGTGAAGAGGAGCAAATTTAATTAACGCATTTCGCTGCTGCTATAGTCAGTGTTACATTCTAGATGATGACAACGTATGGTGAAATGCCAGTAAAGGAAGACACGCTACTGTAGCTACAGGGATCTGAACGTTAAATCTGTAACGTGTATCCAAGGATAATTCTAGGTCAACGTTCTTCGTCATTGGCTATATATAAAGTTAGAATGTGACCCAAATTTACTTGTTGACATTTGGTATATCTCTACGCCCGCAGAAGACCAAGGGTCATTGCATCGCCACTACGACGTAGGAGTCTGCTAATAGCATAATAGTCCAGTTACAGTCGATTTATAACAAGCGGTGTGACAACTCAGTAACACCTCGCTCCAAGTGTACTATTTAATTGCTATTCTATGCTAACCTCATCCTAGGTTAATCCTCCCCTATCCAAACCTTATTCAAGCCTATTCTAACCTATCCTATCCTATCGTATCCTATCTTATCCTATCATATCCTGTCTTTTTCTATACTCTCGTATCCTATCCCATAAAAGCCTATCCTATTCTATCCTATTTCCTCACATTGCATCCCATCATATCCCACCCCATCCCATCCCATCCCATCCCATCCCATCCCATCCTGATCATCGATGACCGGGCGCGCATCCGTGTGTGTCACTAGGCTGTCAGCGCACGTGTAGCGACAATGGGCGGCACCGTAGCCAGCGCCCTAACGCAGCTGCTGCAGTTTCTCGGCGGAAACATTTTCAGCGTCGTCTTGGTCGTCGTCACGGCTCTCGTGTCGTCGTACTACGTGAAGCGACCGCGTGGAGCACCGCCCGGACCCCGCGGCTGGCCCGTCGTTGGCTCCCTCGTCTCGCTGGCGGGCAAACATGGGGGACGTTACCTCAAGCAGCTGAGTGAGCAGTACGGGCCGATATTCAGCCTCTACATGGGACCGCAGGTTAGCAGAGTTACTTTGTACATCTATCTATATATCTATTTATCTATTTATCTATCAATGTTTCTCTCTATTTATCCTCCATCTATTTAGCAATCGATTCATCTATCCATCTATCCATATATCTATATCTCTATCGTTCTATCCGTCTATCTATCCATCTATCTATCTATCTATCTATCCCTCTATTAACCAATCCATCTATTCATCTATCCGTCAATCCATCTATCCATTTATCCATCCATCCATCTATCCACCTATCCATCTATCCATCTATCCATCTATCCATCTATCCATCCATCTTTCCATCCATCTATCCATCTATTCATCTATCCATCCATCCATTTATGCATCTATACATCTATCCATCTATCCATCTATCTATCTATCCATCTATCCATCTATCCATCTGTCTATCTATCCATCTAGCCGTCTATCCGTCTATCCGCTTATCTATCTATCCATCTGTCCATTCATCCGTCCATTCATCAATCCATCTATCCTTTCATCCTTCTACCCTTCTATCCTTTCATCCTTCTTTCCTTCTATCCTGCTATCCTTCTATCCTTCTATCCATCTATCCTTCTATCCTTTCATCCTTCTTTCCTTCTATCCTCCTATCCTTCTATCGTTTCATCGTGCCATCCTGCCATCCTTCCATCCCTCCATCCTTCCATCGTTCTATCCTTCTATCCTTCTATCCCGCTATCCTTCTATCCTTCTATCCTTCTATCCTTCTTTTGTTCCGTCCATCTATGCATCTATCTATCCATCCATCCATCTATCCATCTATCCATCCATTCATTTCGCCATCTCTCTCTTTCTTTATCTCTTATACATACATACATACATACATACATACATACATACATACATACATACATACATACATACATACATACATACATACATACATACATACATACATACATAACATACATACATACATACATACATACATACATACATACATACAGTACATACATACATACATACATACAATACAAATACATCAAATTAACATACATACGGAGTCCGGCTGCAGGACATACATACATGCACATACATACATAGTCATACATACATACATACATACATACATACATACATACAATCATACATCCATGACAGTACATACATATCGATACATACCATACATAGCCATACATAGCATACATACGACTACATACATGCATGCGCATCATGCCATGCATGCATGTCATGCGATGCATTCCATAAATACATAACATACATACATACATACATATGATCATACATACTATACCTACATACATACATACATACATACATACATACATACATACATACATACATACACTACATACATACATACATACACTAGCATACATACATACATACATACATACATACATACATACATACATACATACATACATACATACATACATATACAAATATGTTTCAGTTTACTGTTGTCGTCAACGATGTGGAGCTAGCAAGGGAAGCATTTCTCAACCAGGGCGAGCACACGGCGGGGCGACCATTCCACTATGTGCTGCACCGCTATGAGGCGGACGATCGTGGTGATATGAACGGTGCGTGCGTTGTACTTTCATGTTCTGTTATGTCATACAGTACAAATTCAATGAAGCCATTTTTCAAAAACCATGATGCTATGAGCTGATCATATATTTCATAATGAGACAAGTGTTGTATTGCGCATTGTGCCACGTATTGGCGTGTAACAGTAGATCAACGTACGATACATTTCTCCTCATTTCGTTTTGGTAATAATGAAAATCTATTCTTGTGTACGCAATTACCTTTACAGAACCCGATCTCTGACCAAATTCTTTGAGCCAGGTACATTATACTAAATTAAAAGACTTCGGAACTGAATTATTTCGGGCAATAAAGAGACATAACTCCGTTTCTCTCTACAACTAAATTGAGCCAATCAAGGAAGAAAATAAATAATCTATCTATCATGAGAAACTGCATTCCTACGCGATCTCATGGGCACTGCCAGAATCAATATTAAGATTTGAACCGAATCAAAGCAGGGGTTAACTCAAGCTCTGTTGAGCTTGAGCTCATGTCCTGGCTTGCTGATCCCGGAGGGGGTTTTACAGGCTGTGATAACGGTGGAGCATTAGCGCCCGGCATTCCATCTCAAGTCACAGTGGTATCTAGTGTATCTGGAATAGGTCAAGAGTCTTCCTGGGCCTCCTCACAACATTGCCGGCGGAGAACATAATCCTAATGTCTACAAACGATACCTTCGCCTATCAGCTTAATCATATAGGACAGAGGTCATGTTTCCTCCACTATAAACTCTGTCAGCCAAATGCATCCCGGATACCATTTCGGATCCTTTTCGGTCTTCATTTGACTGTTTGTGCAGCTCTCTCCACCATACCATCTGAGGCCGGGTGGTACGGAGCAGTGTAGCTGTGGTTCATTCCTTTACTACCAGTGAACCGTCTACCGTTCTACTTATTCCTCGCTCACGATCGTCATTGATATTAGTAGAGCGTGTGTCGCAAAGCTGGCATCAATATTTCAACAGTGACTGCTAAAGATGTTGAGTTTACAGCATGTGCTTCGATTCAGTTAAAATGGGAATCCACGGTGATCAGGGTCATCTTTTCCGTAAGTGGACGGATACCCTCTCAAATGGTTGCTGAGGCCATTTCGAAGACCCAACGGAGCCCCCGCCGCGGATTTCTGAACTGATTCGCAGGTGCTACGCTTGTTTACTACTGCCTCAAACTCTTTATCAAAATGAGGCCACCACACAGAGCTACTACCAAAGTCTTTCAATTTCTGAATCGCTGCGTGTGTTTCGCGTTACTCATCCATATCCTTTGTACTTGTGGCGGTGTAATGACTCGGGTTTCTCACAGTAGGTAACCCTTGTACACACTATGTTAATTCTTTCTAGCTGCATGAGGTCACAGAGCCTCTGAAAAATCCCTGGCTGGTCAAGCTGTCTGTACAAGCTGTAACAGTCGGGTCAGTCCAGGATCTCAGGGTATACATGACTATATATGCCTAGCCGTGACGGGCGTAGTACGAGTTAAATGTTTCGTTAGGAAAACTACATATCCCGGCACAGGAAGCTCGGCTGGATGCTGTGGCAATGTCAACCTGCTTAGTGCAACATTATTCCCGTGAGCTTCTCCAGTTCGGGATTCTCGTGTATATGAATAGTCTCCCAATGTGTGTTCCTAATGCTAAACACGAAGAGATACTACGTGTAATGTGCGCCGGTGTAGGCCAAACAACCGCAGCAGGGGCTTGTGATACGTCACCATCCTGATGTGGCGGCCAATAATGTATTGGCGATAATGTTCGACTCCGTAAACTATGGCAAGCGCATCCTTGTCCCATTGGGAGTACCTCGACTCGGCAATAGACAGTCAGAGCGTGACACAACATAGCGATGCATCACAGGCCAACAGCAACTCCTATTCCTGGTCAAAACGCATTAAGCCCTGTGCTGACTGCAGCATTTCCTCTGTCCTTTTCAATGTCTGGCTCTGCAAGGGACCAGATTCGTAGGCAGATTGCTTCCTCAGTAAGCGATTGATGGAGTTGCAACTACAGTTGAGAGATTTTGGAAAAACCGCACATAAAAAATTAGCAGCCCGGGAGATGACTTTAGTTCCATGATGACTTTAGGTGGAACAACCTTTTGCAATACAATCTACACTGTCTTCTAGCAGATGCATGCTTTCTGCATCGATCTCATGTCTCAGGTATGTCACATCGATGTTTATTAAACTGACATTTCTCTCGTTTGACACTGCATTCGGGCAAGCGACACAGTACGGCCTCTAACGACTTCAAGTGTTCCTTAGAAGACTCATCTGCTATCAATATGTTATCCAGACAGACATATACGCGTGGAATTTCAGTTCAGCATGTTGTCCGTAATGTTTTCCAAAATTGCTGGAGTAGTGGATACACCGAAAGGCAAGCCTTTGTTGTCGTAAGTCCCAGTGTCGGTATTTTTGGTGGCATATATAATTATATATATAACATACATACATACATACATACATACATACATACATACATACATACATACATACATACATACATACATACATACATACATACATACATACATACATATGCAAATATGTTTCAGTTTACTGTTGTCGTCAACGATGTGGAGCTAGCAAGGGAGGCATTTCTCAACCAGGGCGAGCACACGGCGGCGCGACCATACCACTATGTGCTGCAACGCTATGAGGCGGACGATCGTGGTGATATGAACGGTGCGTGCGTTGTACTTTTATGTTCTGTTATGTCATACAGTACAAATTTAATGAAGCCATCTTTCAAAAACCATGATGCCATGAGCTGATCATTATTATATTTCATAATGAGACAAGTGTTGTATTGCGCATTGTGCCACGTATTGGCGTGTAACAGTAGATCAACGTACAGTACATTTCTCCTCATTTTGTTTTGGTAAGAATGAAAATCTATTCTTGTGTATGCAATTATCTGTACAGAACCCGATCTCCAACCAAATTATTTGAGCCAGGTACATTATACTAAATTAAAAGACTTCGGAACTGAATTATTTCGTGCAATAAAGAAACATAACTCTGTTTCTCTCTACAACTAAATTGAGCCTATCAAGAAAGAAATATGAATCTATAAAATAATCAATCTATCATGAGAAACTGCAATCCTACGCGATCTCATGGGCACTGCCGGAATCAATATTAAGATCTGAACCGAATGAAAGCAGGGGTTAATTCAAGCCATGTTGAGCTTGAGCACATGTCCTGGCTGGCTGATCCCTTAGGGGGTTTACAGGCTGTGATAACGGTGGAGCATTAGTACCCGGCATTTCATCTCAAGCCAGACTGGCATCTAGTGTATCTGGAATCGTAGTGTAAATGGTTAAGAGTCTTTCTGAACCTCGTCACAACATTGCCGACGGAGAACATAATCCTAATGTCTACGAACGATACATTCGCCTATCAGCTTAATCATATGGGACAGAGGTCATGTTTCCTTCACTATAAACTCTGTCAGCCAAATGCATCCCGGATACCATCTCGGATCATTTTCGGTCTTCATTTAACTGTTTGTGTAGCTCACTCCACCAGACCATCTGAGGCCGCGTGGTACGGAGCAGTGTAGCTGCGGTTCATTCCTTTACTATCAGTGAACCGTCTACCGTTTTTCTTATTCCTCGCTCATGATCGTCATTGATATTAGTAGACCGTGGGTCGCAAAGCTGGCCATTAATGTTTCAACAGCGACTGCTAAAAATGCTGAGTTTACAGCATGTGCTTCGATTCAGTTAAAATGGGAATAGACGATGATCAAGGTCATCTTTCCCGTAAGTGGACAGATACCCTCTCAAATGGTTGTTGAGGCCATTTCGAAGATCCAACGGAGCGCCGGCCGCAGATTTCTTAACTGATTGGCAGGTGCTACGCTTGTTTACTACTGCCTCAAAGTCTTTATCAAAATGAGGCCACCACACAGAGCTACTACCAAGTTCATTTAATTTCTGAATCGCTGCATGTGTTTCACGTAACTCATCCACATCCTTTGTACTTGTGGCGGTGTAATGACTCGAGTTTCTCTCAGTAGGTAACCCTTGTACATACACTATGTTAATTTTGTCTGGCTGCATGAGGTCACAGAGCGTCTGCAAAATCCCTGTCTGATCAAGCTGTCTGTACGAGCTGTAACAGTTGGGTCAGTACAGGATCTCAGGGTATAAATGACTATATATGCTTAGCCGTGACGGGCGTAGTACGAGTTAAATGTTTCGTTAGGAAAACTACATATCTCGGCACAGGAAGCTCGGCTGGATGCTGTGGCAAAGTCAACCTGCTTACAGCAAGATTATTCCCGTCAGCTTTTCCAGTTTGGGATTCTCGTGTATATGAATAGTCTCCTAATGTGTGTTCCTAATGCTAAACACGAGCAAACACCACGTGTAATGTGCGCTGTTGTACGCCAAACAATTGCAGCAGGGGCATGTGATACGTCACCATCCCGAAGTGGCGTCCAATGATGTATTGGTGATAATCTTCGACTCCGTAAACTATGGCAAGCGCATCCTTGTTCCATTGGAAGTACCTCGACTCGGCAATAGACAGTGAGAGCATGACGCAATATAGCGATACATAACAGGCCAACAGCAACTCCTATTCCTGGTCAAAAAGCATTAAGCCCTGTGCTGACTGAAGCATTTCTTCTGTCCTTTTAAATGTCTGGCTCTGCAAGGGACTCTATTTATAGGCAGATTGCTTTCTCAGTAAGCAATTTATGGAGTTGCAACTACAGTTGAGAGATTTTTGAAAAAAAGCACATAAAAAATTAGCAGCCCGAGGGATGACTTTAGTTCCATGATGACTTTAGGTAGAGCAATCTTTTGCAATACAATCTACCCTGTCTTCTAGCAGATGCATGCTTTCTGCATCGATCTCATGTCTCAGGTATGTGACATCGATGTTTATTAAACTGACATTTCTCTCGTTTGACACTGCATTCGGGCAAGCGACACAGTACGGCCTCTAACGACTTCAAGTGTTCCTTAGAAGACTCATCTGCTATCAATATGTCATCCAGGCAGACATATACGGGTGGAATTTCAGTTCAACACGTTGTCCGTAATGTTTTCTAAAATTGCTGGAGTAGTGGATACACCGAAAGGCAAGCCTTTGTTGTCGTAAATCCCAGTGTCGGTATTTTTGGTGGCAATATATTAATGATTACATATATACTGTGTTTTATACGACTATAAAGTTCTATTATATAAATCAGACAAGTGAACAAGATCAGATTTGTTTATCACACGTGTGTCCCCCGGTAAGAGCTATCTACGCTTAATATTATTTTAAGAATTTATTACAAAGGGTAAGCATGCCACCTATAGAACGCACGTTTATAGAACTGTCTACCTATCCATAACAACGCGCTTTGAACATCAAGGTCTTGAAGTCAGTCAACCACATAAGTAGTTTTTTCCTCGAGCTGACTATTACATTGCATGTTTGATGCGTCATGTAAAAATAATCGCAGTGCGAACTAGTTTTTCCGGGATTTTCTCTGATTTTCAAATTTATCATTCGTGCAATGGCATGCAGAAGAACGTTAGTGTGCTCACACACACACACACACACACGCCACACCGACCACATCCGCACACACACACACACACAGTTACCCACACACCCACACACACGTAGTACATATACTATATATATTACAGTACGGCGGGTTTTTGAAATCAATACCCATTCAGTGCTGTACTCGGTTGATAATGTTTCACCGTGCTTTTCCACGACGCCCGGCAAAATTTAATTCATAATTTTCATGAAATTTATTATAATAATATATACATTCGATGCAGTAGACAATATCATTGAATTATGTGCATGCAGACATCGCGAGGAGCGGCATGAGAGCCTACGCTACTACATAAATGATTTTTTGTCTTGTATTATTATATATGCAACAATTAATTTAAGTATAATCGATCATTTCAACATGATAATTACATTAGGCATAACAACTCATTTTTGCGTATTTTCACGGTGATCTCTAGATACCGTGTTCCTTATGGCAGACTTGTATGAGCGAGGGAAAGCGCTGGAACTGGCATAAGAAGTTCGCGCTCCCCAGTTGCGTGAGTTCGGCATGGGAAGGTCAGCATAGAGAAAGAAGCCTCGTAGGAGGAGGCGTCCGCCTGTCTCGCACATCTAAAGCGACACCAATTGGGCAGGCGATCGATCCACAGGTAGCAAGAATAACCAGAATATTGTATACATATACAATATATATCCAATCTCTCACACTCTCTCTCTTCTCATCTCTGACGCTCGCTTGTTTTCCTCTACTATAACACCCATTATTTTTAATCACGTTGATTTCCACTTGTGGTGCTGTGCGTGTGTGTGATGTTCGTGCCGTGGTGTTGAGTGTGCGTGCGTGTGTGTACGTGTGCTGTAACGCGTATGAGTGTGTGTGCGTGAGTGTGGGACAGTACATATACCATATACACGTGGTTTGTGTTGTCGACCGGGAGGCTTTGCTCAGCAAGTTGTGCGTTGAACGTGCATTGCCTCTCATTAACTCGGTGCTCGTAGACTACGCCGACCACCCGCTCCTCAGACCGGACCGACAACATGCACCGCCATCTCAGATAGCGAACGTACAAGGTACGTAGCCTTTGAACATCCGGTATGTACAGTCGGTGACATACAGGACCGTACCGTCTAGTAACGCACAGGTTTTTGTAACCGTCGGTAACATACTACGCACGTACCGTCGGTAAATCCAGGTACGTACCGTCAGTAACGACATTGGTACTACCGTCCTACATAAAGGTACATCCGTCGAACATACAGGGCGTACCATCGTAACATACAGGTACGTCACCGCGGGTAACATACAGGTACGTACCGGTCGGTAACATACAGTAAGTACCGTCGGCTAGCATACCAGATACGTACGTACGGTAACATACAGGTACCGTACTCGTCGGTAACATAACAGTTACGCGTGCCGTCGTAACCAGTACCGGTACGTACCGTCGTACCGAACCAGGTACGTACCGTCGGTAACATACAGGTACGGTAACCGGTGTGTTAACAACGCAGGTGCTTCGGCACGGACCAAGGTCCTCACACGTCCTGGACTTAGTATGCTCCGGTCAATGAAAGTGCCTTGGCAATTGAGCCCGATCGACTTTGTGGTGTGGCAATCATCAAATTTCGACCGTGCACGATTTTAGTGTTTACTAATTGCGGCGAGTATTCAATACAGGGTGCGAATTGAGATGGTACTCCGTTAACAGTTTTGCTCGCCAAGTGGCCTTAGCAACTCAAGATAACTCCCGACAAATCCTTTAAAAAAGTTAACATCACTGTTGACAAATGTCTCCGGAAATCGAACGTTTTCACATTTGAATCAAATATATCATATATATACTAAGTATATAATATAAGTATATATATGTAATACATTAAAATTCCCTAACTTTAAATATCACATAACAATCGGCCATAACGTCATTAATTATCGATTTAAATTTATAATTAGGATATTTGTCCGTTTGTCAAGTTAAATCGACTAAGACCTCGCGGGTTGTGAATATGGTTTATTTAAATCACCTGGAAAGTTGCCCGGAAATTCATATGAAAAGGAGCTTTGTGTATTCCTACGAATACCCGTTGTCATGAAAAATGGCGCCGTTAGACCGCCCTCTGGAAAACCAAAAGAATCCCGGATAAAAGTTGTCCTTTGCCTGCGCGCGGACGTTGATACGCGGTATGTGTTGCATACACAGGGCATGCTTAACTTCTACCCTGTGCTGCGACACCTGCCGGTCTTCAGCCGCATGCTGAAAAAGATGGACGCAGCGTACGTAGGGTTGAACAAGGAGCTGCAGAGTAACATAGGCGAGCACGAAGAGCAGGCGCCGGAGAAAGAGGGAGACGCGAGAGACTACTTAGACGCATACCTGCTAGCGCAGCGGCAGCGGGCGGGGACAGATTCAACATTCACTAGTGAGTCAAGCGCTGTACGAACACGCACGCACACACCCACTCGCACGCACACACACGCGCGCGCACACGCACACGCACACGCACACACACAAACACACACGCACACATCCTATAGAAAAGCACGCACGCACAAATGCACGACCCCATATACACGCACACAAGCACAACCACACACGCGCGCGCACGCACGCACGCACGCAAGCACTTACACGCGCATATGACAAGAATGAATGAGGTTACATGAATTATATATAGCACGCGAAGGAGTCGACAGACACACGCTTACGTATGACGGCTTCATCTTACAGGTTTTCAGCTGCTGGTCTCCGTACGCGATCTGTTTCTCGCGGGATCACACACCATTATGACGACGCTACGCTGGTGTCTGCTCTTCATGCTCAAATACCCTCACGTCCTGCGGAGAGTGCAGGCCGAGATCGATGACGTCATCGGACGAGGAAGGCTACCCTGCATGGCGGACCAAGACAACATGCCGTACACGCGGGCGACAATAACCGAGGTGCAGAGAGTAGGTGAGAAAGAAAGCTAGCGTGGTCAGTAGATGGAATGTACCAGCAGGTGGCATTCAAAGACAGCAGGCCTAATTAGGTGTGACAGAAATATTGTTTAATAATACTTGGCATGTTTCTTTTGCACAGCATAACTAGGCGAGCGACACTACTAAACGTCTAGATACTCTGAGAGAACGCCATTAGCGAATTTATTTTTTTGTTTCTAGCGGACATTTTGCCTCTGAGCGTGCCACACAGCACGACCGCCGAGATACAGCTAGGAGGCTACGTCATCCCCGCCGGTACGCCAATCCTTGCTAACCTCACGGCCATCCTCAACGACCCGAAACACTTCCCCGAACCGGAGAAGTTCCGCCCGGAGCGCCACCTGGACGAGCGTGGAGACTTTGTGCAGAACGAAGCGCTGATCCCGTTCTCCATTGGTGAGATTACTTGCACGGCCGCAAAATGGCGACACCAGGGCAAGGAAAACACGGTGGGCATATGTTTCCATGAAACAGAGTATCCGCGTGACGTCAGTGTACGTCGATGTGACGTCAGTGGCTATCTATACACCATAGATAGTGTTTGGTACTATGACACGCGTATATAAGATAGCCGAGTCGGTTTATAGTTAGTGTTAGGGTTAGGGTTTGGGCTAGGGTTAGGGTTAGGGTTTTTGCATCATTCCTTGATATACGGAAAGTCTGATGCGGAAGTTGATATGCGTAGTATGGAATATGACCATGCGCAACCACCATCAGCAAGCTGTATGCATTCAACTTCGGAGATAGCCGAGTTCGTGCGTGACGTACACTGACGTCACGCGGATACTCTGTTTCATGGAAACATATGCCGACCGGAGAATACAGTGACGTCACCCGTCAAAAGACTGCAGCGGTGATCGTGGTTGGGGACCCCTGCTAGGTTATTGTTTTTGAGGGGTGCTGATTAGGCGATGCCCTGAAACCCGCCAACTTTGGATTTTAATTTTTTCACATAATTCTAACTAAATTGGTGTTTAATACACCGTCGTACATGTTTTACATGACCAGGGTGTGTTTTACCATATCACGGCACGGCAGACTACTCCCCCACTACGCACGCACACACACACACATACATACATGCAAGGAAAACACATACAGGAATACGCGAATGCACACCGTCACCAGCACCATCACACACAACGCACGCCGCCTCCCGTATGTACATATATATATATATTACAGTACGCTGGGTTTTTGAAATCAATACCATTCAGTGTTACATCGTTGATATGTTTCAACGTGTTTCCAACGACCCGGCGAAATTTAATTCATAAATTCTTGAATTATTATTAATAATAATAATTCATCAGTAGACAATATAATTAGTATTAGTGGCACAGACATCCGAGGAGCGCATGAGAGCACCTGATACATAAAGGGATTATTTGTCCTTGTTATTATATTATCAACAATTAATTTAATATAATAATAATTTCAAAATAATAATTACATTAGCATAACAACTATTTTCGTATTTTCACGGTGATATTAGATACTCGTGTATTATGCAGGACTTGTGATGAGCGAGGGAAAGCGCTGGAAGGAGCATAGGAAGTTCGCGCTTACCAAGTTGCGTGAGTTCGGCATGGGGAAGGTCAGCATAGAGAAGAAGATCCAGGAGGAGGCGTCCGCCTGTCTCGCTCATCTAAGCAACACCAATGGGCAGGCGATCGATCCACAGGTAGAAAGAATAACCAGAAATATTGTATACATATACATATATATCCATCTCTCACACTCTCTCTCTTCTTTATCTCTGACGCTCCCTTATTCCTCTACCATACACCCATTATTTTGTAATCACTTGATCCACTTTTGTGGGTGTCTGTGCGTGTGTGTGTATGTGTGTGCGTGTGTGAGTGTGCGTGCGTGTGTGTACGTGTGTGTACGCGTATGAGTGTGTGCGTGAGTGTGTGTACATACATATATACATATACACGTGTTTGTGTCGTCACCGCAGGCTCTGCTCAGCAGTTGTGTGTTGAACGTGATTGCCTCTATTACACTCGGTGCTCGGTACGACCACGCCGACCCCGCCTTCCTCAGACTTAACGACGACATCAACATCCTCTTCCATGATACCGACACACAGGTACGTACCTTCGGTAATATACAGGTATGTTCTGTCGGTAAAATACAGGTACGTACCGTCTGTAACGCACAGGTACGTACCTTCGGTAATATACAGGTATGTTCTGTCGGTAAAATACAGGTACGTACCGTCTGTAACGCACAGGTATGTACCGGCGGTAACATACAGGTACGTACCGTCGGTAATATACAGGTACGTACCGTCAGTAACACATTGGTACGTACCGTCGCTAACATAAAGGTACGTACAGTCGGTAACATACAGGTACGTACCATCGGTAACATACAGGTACGTACCGTCGGTAACATACAGGTACGTACCGTCGGTAACATACAGGTACGTACCGTCGGTAACATACAGGTACGTACCAAACTAAATTGGTGTTTAATACACCGTCGTACATGTTTTACATGACCAGGGTGTGTTTTACCATATCACGGCACGGCAGACTACTCCCCCACTATCATAATTATTAATTAACGTAATCATCATTATTATTATTATTATTATTATTATTATCATCATCATCATCATCAATACTGAAAACTTCCTGAAAAATTTCCTCAAAATAATATCATGAATGCATCTTGAGATCACAGTATTTCTCACGGGAATTTCTCACGCACGGGGACTCGAACCCTAAACCTCAGAATTTATGGTCAGGCCAATACTACCCCCTCTCTCCACCATCCAACCTTTGAAGAACCTCCCTGATGATGGCGTCTGTTATTTGCCGACAGGTCGTCGCGTCTGTCTAGGAGAGGCTCTCGCGCGAGTGGAGCTGTTCATATTCTTCACAAGCATTCTGCAGAACTTCGACATCAGGCTACCAGATGGCGTTACCGATCCGTCTATGGATGGAAACTTGGGCTTCGTGTGGATGGCAAATCCGTATCTGTTGCATTGCGTCGCACGACAGTAATCCAAAATGATGTCAAAACCTCACGCCGTACGAGTGATAAACTTGTCGCGTGTTATCCCATGTTTTAACGTGTAACTAAACTGTACTATCTTACGTTTTAACGTGTAACAAAACTGCGCTATCCTACGTTTTAACGTGTAACTAAACTGTACTATCCTACGTTTTAACGTGTAACAAAACTGCGCTATCCTACGTTTTAACGTGTAACAAAACTGTACTATCTTACGTTTTAACGTGTAACAAAACTGCGCTATCCTATGTTTTAACGTGTAAGAAAACTGTACTATCTTACGTTTTACCGTGTAACAAAACTGCGCTATCCTATGTTTTAACGTGTAAGAAAACTG